TTATATATACATAATTCTATTTTTTTATTATTTTCATATATTTATGCAAACTCAATATTTAATTTGGTTCTCGTTAAAATTGTTTATTTCACGTACTTCTTTAGTTTTAAAGTCCAACTAATCTCTTATTGGTGGAATATTTTTTGCCATAATTTTCTTCTCCCTTTCTTTCCCCCCTAATTTCTCACCCTTTTGTTTCATTTGCATTATTACAACATAATTTTTTTTTATTTATCTTACTTAAACCATGAAACTTTTTGCTCATTAGTTTCTACAATTTTTCTATACATATCTTAGTAATCATTAGTTAATTGAAGCAACATACGCTATTACGGTCGTATAATGTATATTCATGTAAATTGTTTGATTACCATATTCATTTGCTTAATTTGTTGTATTTATGCATTTAATTAGTATTCATCTTAATTATTGTATCATCCGAGTTCATCAACAAAATGACGTACGGTAGATTACCACGTACCAATCATACCGTACCGAAACTAACGGTATACCGAATAACGGTATACCGCAATTGTTGGTACGGTAACGGTATAGAATTTTTCAATACCGAAAGATACGGTAGGTACACGGTATTGAACAAAATGTTCGGTAACCGTACCGAAACCACCCCTAATATGTATAGTAATGTATAATAATGTATAGTAATGTATACAGTTTGCTGAACACTGTAACTTGAAGCAGATGTAACTTTAACCAAATTTTTGACACTTTCAAGGAGAGGATCAATGGCTTTCATAAAGCTGCAATTGGAAAATCAAAAAAAAAAAAAAAATTACTTTAGTGCAAATCAACAAAATATGAAGAAACATCAAAATACTCAAAAATTAACAAACACTAAGAGATCGAGAGATAGAGAGAGAGGATATTGCTGGGAAATGCTACAGATTTTAAATCAAACAGACAATGACTCCTCCATCCCCTCGCCTCCTACCAAAACCCTAGCCGCCGCTAATAACCACCCACGGTTCCGCGCGCCCACAAATGCAAAAAATTATAGAAAAAAATCTGAAAATATAAAAATAAACGAAATTACCATCAAAATATAGATCTCGACGAGATGAGTCCAACGGTGGCAAGCCCGTCAAATTTCAACTGGTGGAACACAAAATACACCTCCGGCAAGACCACCATCGTCGAATGAAAAAAAAATTGCAGAAACAGATCAGCGCTCCAAACTGAATGAAATCACCACCAGAAGAAAGAGCTCGACGAGAGGAATCCAACGGTAGTTAAACCATCGAATTCCGACAACCGGAGAGAGAGTTATGACTCCGGGAAGCAATTTCGCCGATTGGAGATATATGGATGCGGGATTTGAATCTGGTAGAGGAAGAGAGAGACGATTGTGAGTGGCTCTAGGGTTTAAACCTGATTTTAAATGGGTATTATAGGGACTTTAGGGTGGCCGAGGGGGGTATGTCAAAATATTTTCGAAATGAAGGGGGGGTTTCCCCTAGAGTGTAATCCACTTGAAAGTTAGTTCTAGAAATGATGGGGGTCTACAAAATAATCCCAAAATATAAATACCGAAGGGCCAAGTAAATTAAAACCTTAAAAAATATTAGTTAGTATAAAAAAAAATCATAAGTTGCATTTTTCCTTATAAGAAAATCTATGTTTCAATTTGTTGCTCCGACATTTGTTTTTATTTATTGCGTTTTGTCGAACTCTTTTGAGTTTTCTTGCATTTTCCTGCAAAATATAAAAAAGATAGAAAAATATTGTGAAAGTAGTCATTATATCTGAATTTAGAACAATAGATTACAAACTAATGTAATTTTCGAAATTTTCGAAATTCCGCCGGTTCCGAAGTATGCCGAAATTGAAATGAATTTTTGCATTACGATTTTTCGGAACGAAAACTGGAACTCATTTTTTACTTCCAATTTTTTTGAAAAGTTTCCGAAAAAGTCCTTTCCAATCTATTCCGTGCGATTTCCAAAGTCATATACGTGACACGTCGTGTATATGCACTTATGTGAGATACTGAAAAATATATTATTTCCAAAGTTCACAAACTCTTATGAATTTAATGAATTATTAAATTTTATTAATAAAAGTAAGGTTGCTCTTCCTAAACCCTAGAAATTTTTTCCCGCTCATTTGATAGTTATAATTTTCATTTATTTATTTAATTATTTATTTATATTATTTTATTTTATTTAATATAATCAAGGTTAATAAATCCACTAAGTATCCAGATTTTTTGACCCCATCTTATTAATAAAAGTAAAGTTCCTCCTGCTAAACTCTATAAAAAATTTTCTGCTCATTTGATAGTTATAAATTATAATTTTTTATTTATTTAATTAATTAATTTTATTGGTTTATTATATTTATTATAACCAAGTTTAATAAATCCGTTTAGTATCTACTTTATGGCCCCAAATCTACGTATTTTTCTCACTAAAATTATCATTTTACTTAATATTAATTTGATGGAAAAATTATTTAGTTGTTTGTATAAACATTTGACCTTATCTAATAAAAGTAATCTTTTCCGTCTAAAATTGTCGTTTTACTTAATATTAATTTGATGGGAAAATTATTTAATTGTTTAAAAAAACATTTGGTTCTTATCTTATCTTATTAAGAAAAGTAAAGTTGTTCTCTTATTAATAAATGTAAGGTTGTTCCTGGTAAACACTATGAATTTTTTTCCGCTCATTGGATAGTTATAAATTATAATTGTCATTTATTTAATTAATTAGTTTTTTGTTTTACTTTATTTAATATAATCAAGTTTAATAAATCCGTCAAGTATCCAGAATTTTTCGCAAAAAACTTACGTATCTTTTCCCGCCAAAATTGTTATTTTTACTCAATGTTAGTTTGATGGAAAAATTATTTAATTGGTTACAAAAATATTTGGTTCTTATCTTATCTTATTAATAAAAGTAAAGTTGTTCTCTTATTAATAAAGGTGAGATTGTTCCTGCTACACAATTGAAATTTTTCCTGCTCATTTGATAGTTATAAATTATAATTGTCATTTATTTAATTAATTAGTTTATTGTTTTACTATATTTAATATAATCAAGTTTAATAAATCCGTTAAGTATTCATAATTCTTTCGCAAAAAAATTACGTATCTTTTCCCGCCAAAATTGTCATTTTTACTTAATATTAATTTGATGGAAAAATTATTTAATTGTTTAGAAAAATATTTGGTTTTTATCTTATTAATAAAAGTAAGGTTGCTCCTGATAAACTCTTGAGATTTAATGGCATCATTGATTTACAGTAAATTTACTGAGGTATGTTATAGGTATAAAGAAGAAGATTCATCAAGCTTCAACATTAACTGAAATAAGACAAATATACAACTATATTACATCAAAAATATAAAGTTAAATTAATAAATATCGCAAAAAAAGTTTATGGGTGGGGGATTATCAACAATAAATATATATACATATTTATATATATATATATATATATATATATATAT